AAAATTGGGAGTAAAACTAAGGAGTGTGTCAAATCTAACAAAATATCTACCAAAAGTAAACTGGGATCATTCTCCCTTCAGTCAAAGGCAGAGACTATGGAGACGTGAGTCCAAACAGCCCTTTGATAGCAAAACTAAGGATCTAGTGTTCCCTGTATTTTTTTAAAAGAAATAAATTCCAGTGTGAAAAAACAAATACAGCCCTTTCTAAGGCAGGGATGAGGTGTGTTTGTGGTAGGTGGAGAAGTTCAAAGCCAGATTTCCATCTTGACAGCTGTTCTAGTTCTCACAGCTACCCCTCAGGCCACCAGATGTTTTGAGAAATTAACATAATTTTCCAAACATATTCTAATTGTCCAAGACAATTCATTTCAGTCATCAGATTTTAAAAGTCACCTTCCTACAAAATTAAGAAACTACATTACATGACAAGGAAAAGAATGAACAATAAAATGTAGATATAATACTATTTGAGTCTTCAAAGAGCTGAAGTAAATTACAGTGTTCATCTTCACAATAATCGTATGAAACAGGAAGAGTTCATTCTGTTACCTTCTTTTATAGATGGAGAAAGTAGGGTTAATGAGATTACAGGGTGTTCAATCAGTCAGAAGGCTGAGAGGCCAGGGTGAGAGGTCAGCCATGCTGGTTGGGCCCCAGCTCCTGGAATTGTGCCTTAGCTGGCACCTGTCGGTGCAGGCCTCAAATACAGTGCACACCAGAACGATCACATGACAGCCTACGACCTTCCCTCTCTCTGTTCACTCCAGACACATAGCACTCATTGTTGATAGTTGGTGTGGTATCTAGTGTTTCCAGGCTCTGGCCTTATTCAAACAATTGGAAGGAGACAACTAATGAACATAACAGTTTAACGTTGAGGAAAATGAAAGAAAAAGAAGAAATACAAAAGAGAAGATACATCCTGCAGGCATAACTTGCTGCTGCAAGAACAAGGGAGCAGTGGCAAGGAAGTACAAGGGCCACCATCTTTTATATCTTCATTTGACATCAGATCTGGGTCTTCCCACAGACTCTGAAGCTACTCTGTGCAAGCATCTAGGTCAAGATGTGACAGCTCTCCGTGGCTGACAGGTCACACCCAGTTGTCCAGCCATGATTGGCTGAGACCCAATTGCACTGTCATGCCCTAGTCTCCTGCCTTCCCCCTGCCCAGTCTAGAAACCCTTTCCCACTAAGTGTCCTGTAGGCTTCACATTAGTCAAGGATGAGATTCTGCCTTGATACAAAACACACATTTAGGTTACATAATTGCCTGCTCAATAATATTATTTAAATTGTATTCATAGTTTTCTGTATTCTTTTATAGTATATCTTCATAAAAGCAGAAGTAAAGAAAATATTCTATGATGAGGAAAATGTTAACAGTTAGTATTGAGTTTTTTTAAATTACATTTTTTTATGGCCTGTGTTTTTTGGCTGGACTTGGGCCACTTTGCCTGGGCTCCTGACTGCTCCTCAGTTAAGCTACCTTTTCTGTGCCCATCCTCTCCCCCCACCTCCATGTCACACAATCCACTCCTTGGAGAAATGGGCCTCATCTCTACAAGAGTTGGGTTCTTAAAGCATGAGATCCATTTGGGCCAGTAAACTCAGAGAATATAACCTTGAGATCCATTCATTCCAAGGGCAGACACTGAAAAATACTGAGAAAAATTTTGTTAGGACTTTATGTGAAAATGACAAAAAGAACGATTGAATACATGCTTTGAAATAAAAATAATATATAGTTTCTTCACATCCTTAAAAGGACGTTTTATCCAGGCCAGAGCCAAGAACCACCCCACAGGGCTTCTGATATTTGACCCATAGGTCAGCTTCAATGCTGTGGGCAGAGCCCTCTAACTGTCTCACAGAACACTGGGAAAGTTCTTAACTGTCACTGACAAGGGTCAGTCATATCTTCTGATGTACCTAAAGGAGCAGGAGCTCTGGCAGAGCCTTTGAAACCAATGTATATTCAGATATTTCTGCTGGACTGAGGGTCTCCAGAACAAACTAGACTGAAGGACAAAGCACAGAAGTCCTGAGGGAAAAAATCCTCGTGAACAAAGAACTTTAGTCAGTGGGATATGACAGATTGACTGGCAGACAGCAGGGATTTGGGGTTCAGGGAGGAGCTGGTCCTGAGTGTGGCTGCCCCAGCTGTTCTCTCCACCTCCCTTCCCCCAGGGGAGGAGCACGCGCAGAAAGGAAAGGGGACAATCTGTGTCACGTACAGCCCGTACCAATGGAGCAGTGATCCAAGGGAGTCAGAGACAGAGGGTCAGCAGTGGCTGGTGGCCTCTGTGAGGGCTACATGTGCTGGATGGGGCAGAGGAACTGCCAAGCACAAGGGTCCTGCTTTTGTAATGGAAGTGGCTCCAGAAGCCATGATCCAACCAGAAGCAAAGGGGTCCTTGGATTACAAATGGAAACACACTTAAAACTCCTGAGGAATATTTTGAAAGACAGATGATGGGGGTGAAGTAGAATTTTTTATGAGAAAAGAGACGGGAAGGGGAGAAACTTGAGGGTTGCTACAAATGTGCAGGGTTTGCACTCAATGGCAGATGAAACTGATTACAGACTGAAAAGGCTAAGCAGTGGATGCTCGTGTGAATGTCTGGAAATCTTATTGTGAAATCACTGGCAATGTAGCCAAAGTAAAAAGGGAATCATCCTGGTCAAGTCTGGCTCATCTTCCTCATATCCCATGTGTCTATGTCTCATAGTTTTGACCTTTGCTGGAGAATCTTCTTCTTACTTTTGGTCCTTATTTTTGAGACCTGGACTTTGCTCAGGTGGTGTCTAGAGGAAGAGTCTTTGAGTGCAATATCTTTGGGATTTACTGTCTAGAATGGCCTTCTTACCTCCACATGACAATATTGGCAGCAGCCATGGCAATCTGCCCCCTCCCATCCACCCCAGCTACAGTATCTGTTTGTGTCAATTACAGGCCTTTGACAATTTCAGAACTTTTTGATACCATGCTTCTTCCTACATGCCTTAGTAATCACAGGGGTATTCTAAACCCTTCTCAGCAGCTGAATATAAAACCAAAAGGATTTCTTGTTGGACAAAAAGGCGCTGACCTTCTAATCTCTATTCTTCATCAGGGTTTGGGGAAGGTTGGAGAACTGCACTGCAATGGGTCATCCCCGGGAACTCTGTGGATCTTCAAATACAGGTTAGAGTCAAGAGAGACCAGTAAGAGGTGCTGGCTCTGAGCTCTGCTTTATAAGACCTGTCACCTGGGTGGGTCTGTGAGAGCTCTTGACACTCATATGTTTCCGGTGTGCCCTGGCTTCAAAATCTCAGTAAGCCACTTGCTTCCAAGACACATAAGACACCCTGAAAACAAGACCCACAAAAGTCCCTTCAACTGGCACTTTTCAGTCTTTGTACTTTCTCAATGCCTTCAGTGTGCAACGGAGCCAATCAGCTTCAGTTGTGTTACAGTATATTTAACTCTTAGGCAGGAGAAGACTGAAGAAGGTCTTTCAGGTAAAAGCCATAGGAGAACAGAAGTTTTGTAAACGTTGCTCTCTGGATACCTGAATCTGTCACAATGACATACACTGAAATATGGGAGGAAAAAGCAATAAGTGGCCCAAAGCTGCACCTAAAAGATGAAGTTAGAATTCACCCTGTTCATCTTATTTTAAATGGATAATCTATATTTTTCAAAGTTCAAAATGGAATTTTTAATAAAACTGAAAAAGTAGCCCAGTACAAATTCTATTTTTTCTGGATATCTCTTCAGTGCCAAATTATGCCCTAAAAGTCTTGGTTTACCCATGTTGTAAAAAAAAAAAAAAAAAAATCTGAGTCCTCTTTGCAGTGATTTTCTTGAGGGGGAGAGGATTTGAGTAATTGGAGAACTGAAAGCAAAATGATTTTAAAATATGAAAGGAGCTACAGATCGCACTTTGGATCATTCTTATCAACTATTCACAGGACATAAATTATAAATATATGTCATGGGGAGTAGTGTATATCAGATCATAAATGTACAGTGTGTATTTTCAGTATGATCTTAAATTTGGGGAAAAATAGCTTTGAAATAAAGGCTGTTCTCATCTGGACAAAGAAAATCTTCAACTCCAAACTACAAAATTCTAAAAATGTCATTTACCTTGTACAGAGGTGACCTCTCATATTCTCTGTTAATGTTTCTCCAGTCTTTTTAGATGTGGGGAAAAAAAAGCCATCCTAGGGGTAAATTCAACCTGCTAAGAAACACATTTTTCCAAAGGAAACAAACCTTATTGGATATACTATTGAAAACTTAGGTAATCTATTAAGAGAAAAGTCACCAGCCCCTCTCCCTACAAGTATAATGCCAGAGGAAATGGAGCCTAGAGGCACTGGGAGAAAAAGATTCCACAGAACTTCGTCTCTGAATAGTTTAGAGAAGACAGTGCGGAGGCAGAAAAATAAGAAATGATCGTAGTATAACTCAGTATATGCAGCTGTCCCTTTTCCCTGGGAATGAGCCATAGCCTGTGAGGCACTGACTTCTACACTTTCTGTGTTTGATGGGGGCATGGGACTGACTTGGGCAGACTTGGGTATTGGCACCTTTACAATCCAGGGCTTGGTCATTTGTGCTACCTGGGTGAACTACATGGTGCCAGAGAAGGGCAATTTCCAAAGAGCTTTGCTACCCTTGTTTAGGAGCTACGTAAAGGGGAGATGACCCCAGCCTTAGCAAGGAGCTCTGTCAGGCAGGAACCACGGGCAGGGAGGGAATGAGGGGGAAGGGTAGGACCCTCCAGAGAGAGGCTCCTCCCTATGGCATCTCTAATATCCATTCCTGCACCCAATTACAGAGTTGGCTTCAGAAAGATTCGTTAAACTGCATGGATTTATGCACCTTTTCTGTGCACTGATTTATTTTATAACATAAAAAATGTTAAAGAGGCAAATACAAGAACATAAGAGCAAGTCCTTTCCTTGTATCTTAGTAGTCGTGGTATGTTCTAGAGTAAAAATGAGAAAAGTTAGAAATGCTGACTGTGTTGTTGTCCTCAACTTGCATATGGGACGGCCCAGTGAGTTAAACACTGATGCACCCCTTCCACAGATGGAAAAACTTGCTCAGCAGCCTGGATCTTCTCAGAGCTTCACAGTCCTTGAAAAACAGGACCAGGTTGGGACATAAGGTCCTCAGGAGTTCCTGAGCCTGCTCTCCTGTGGCAACTTGGACCTTGCTCTCCAAGAACAGCTTGATGCAGGAAGGGATTCCCTCAGGCACAGCCACACAGCCCTGCTCTTGTCCAAAGACAAGTGATTTCTCAAGATTGTAATTGTAAGATGTGGTCTTGGCAGTGTCTTTCCAAGTACCTTCAGCAAGGTCTGCCTCATTAAGTGTGATGATTGTAATTGCTTGTCAGAGTGTATTTTGAGTTGTAATTAATGTTTCTGTTGAAAGGAAAACAGCTCTTAGGTTTGCATCTGGAAGTATATTGTGGATCAAAGAGTTTCAAATCCTTTGAGAAGCTTTTATTTTTGTTATGAGGTACATTATGTGTGTACAGATTCTCAGCCGACTCCAGTCATCCCTGTGTAGCCTCCACCTCTATGTGAGGTGTATCCACCAACTTCCTGTATGGCTATTCCTCTTCCGAGGAGGTAGTAACTAGGACAGACTTTGGGTCTAACAGGACAAATGGGACTCAGCCTCTCTCCATCTGAAAAAGTGACTCACCCCTTGGGACTTCAGACATTGTCTCCAATGCATAGGCAAGGGTGATTTAGCCTCAGTTCAAGTAGAAGCCCAAGACTTGGGGCTATGAGTGGCTTCCAATGTCTCTTAAGTCCCTGAGCCGCACCCAAGCATCCAATGGAAATTTTATTTCATATTGGCTCCTCTGGTTTCCAAAAACCCCTATACTCACTCTCAAAAGAGGGATGCTCAAGTTTGCATATAAAAGACAGAGGTGAGGACCAGGAAAATATAGCCACTAAATAGTGCACATTTTCCAAAGGTAGCTCAGTCAAATATTAAATTTGTAAGATGGAGATTGATTCCATAACAATTCCAAGTGAATCCTGGGTGTCTGATCCTTGTTGTAAAGCACTCAAATTCAGTGTTAAGAGGCCCAGAGAGGCTGAGGGTGACCAGTTATGAGAATATTCATACCTGTGTGTGTTGTGGTGGCCCTTCAT